ACATTAAACTTGATTTGGTCACAGTAGGAAAATTTTGCTTTCATTTTAGTCATGTACTTGGTAGTGTAGTTGATTGCGTCAATGTCAACCCCAGCGCATGTAGCACTTAAACCATGGCTTGCGTGATGCACAGAACGTGTGCACACTAACATAAGTAGGCACCGTCCTTAAATACTCACAGAATATTTACTTAATTTTATTGTACTCTCTGATTACCAAGACAATGGTGTCATGAGCCTGAACTTAGGTTTTTGTTACTGGTTTTTGCTGAGCCAAATATTTTCCCATCTGGCCCTCCCACTCAGTCAATAATTACATATGATTTATGAAAGATTTTTAAGACTTAAAATTATTAACTAAAGACTATTGTAAGCTTACTTGTGGAAACCCACCTACTCTAGTTATGGCTGCTTTTTTGTTTCTGGGGTGGAGACTTTTGGGAACGGTTACTGTATATACATGTATGCAAGAGGGGACTGTGCAAAGATTTTGAGCCTTGCAGCAGAAAGCACCACCGACCCAGGCACAGATCTTTTTTCAAAAAGATAGAGTCAACCCTGCAAAAAGATGCTGGCAAGACCCTTCCTTTGTGGAAGTTGAAAATGCACGATAAAGTTTTTGTAATTGTTTCCAAAAATTTTCTGTTAGTCCACTATTACTGAGTTGAACTAGAAGATGTTTATTGTTCTTACAGGCAAGCTCAATCCTAAGAGCTTCACTGGTTAATGATGGACTCCCTGGGTATGTAAGTCAAAGCAGTTTCAGTGTTTCATTATTTTACCCATACTTTGTCAATCAATATTAATAGTAATTATAGGTCCTCTCTGGCTAATAAAATATCTCCACATCTCCTTATTCTATGTGTAGTTTTATATTTCTTGGTTGTACAGTTTGTACACTATGCATTTCTTTTACTAAAAGAATTTGAAATGGTGCCAAAGACCTCTGATATTGAATTTTAACAATGTTCCCACAAATTGATTACTGATGCATTTAACAGCCACAAAAGCAAACCATGCAGTTGCTGAATTAATTACTCAGAGAACTGTTCATTGGCATTCTTTATTTCACAGGCTCTCTGAAAGTGTTGATGTTCCATACAGACCCTCACTTGACTATGAAAAGATAAAAAACCATCTACTTACTTTACCTGAGAGGAAGAAAGCATTTCTTCTACAGGCACTTAGATGGGTATGCAACTTGTCTTCCAATTTTGATACACTATTATAGATCAGTTAAATAAAACATTGCATAATAGAATAGCCATCTCTTTAAACAATACATTATCATATTAAAAGTGGCTGTAATTCTGTCGAGAGAACGTGGTGTACTTTTAATAACAGTTTTGTACCAGAATTTCCAATGGTAACTATATTGTTGCCTGCAATTTTCTACGCTTTGCAGCCAATGACACCAAAGGCTGACAAGTTGCCCCTGGAAATGGAGCCAGTTGCCCATGACAACAACACAAGTGAAACTTTAAAACAGATTCACCAAACTCTCATCGCTCCTTGCTCAACTGATAATCGTAGTAACCTCATTGAATTTCTGTGATTTCTGGGGTGGAAATGAAAAAACTTCAAAGATCAGAGCAAGTTGACTTCCTCATTCTCCTTGCTGTCTACAAGCTTGCTACATTCTTGTGACTTGCCACACATACATGGCCCAATAAAGGGGTTGCTGGTGGGCTATGTTTTATTGTAGCCAATTTTATAACTACAACCTTGGTCACAACGGTTGGAAAAATTCATTTTATACGCATTTTGCCCCTCCTCACCCCTGTGCAATGTTGACAAAACACTTTCATCTAACACAAGTTTTCATTTTACCATTTTCCAACATTGGACGGGGGAATGGGGGTGCTGGCACTTATTCTCTAGGTATTACGGTTATGAGTTTATGTTTTTGGCATTTTCCCACACAATTTGTCCATGGTTGTCTGAATTTTCATATATTTTAAATGCCCATAACTTACACTGAAATTTGCAAATTCGAACCAAATGCGGCACATGCACTATCTATCAGTTGCTCAATAAAATGACTGCTAATATCTGGTTATGGCCTAATTCCCTAACTTTATTTGCTACTTTCATATTCCTTCAAAATTGAGGATTTTGGCATTTCAACCTCATGTAACAAGCAATAAAATATATCTCAGTTAAAAATATCTCAAGAAAGGCCCATTTTTCCTCCAAAACATTTTACAAAGGTAAAAAGTACTTTAACATCTTTGAAAGGATGTTCCTGTGGGTTATTGTCATTCCAGACATGCCTTTTAGGGCCACAAGGCACGGTTTACATCGATTTTCGAATGGTTTACAAACGAGATACATGTGGTTATGACGTAATTGTGACGTCACAGTTAAACTCATCACAAATAGATGAGCTTGGGAGCTGGTGCCTTAAAGGTTAGCAGGGTGCCAAAGCCATAAGCTGCTAGGAGGTATCCATGGCAACCCTGGAAACCAGGAACCACCCAATGAGCGTCCGCTAAACGGCACCGTCACACTGAAAGAAATTCAGTGGAAACTACTTACCTGAAGAATACTTACCCTGACCAAGAACAAAACGGGAGGGAGGAGAGGATGCAAGAATCGGCAATGATTCGTGAGCAAAGCAGTGCAACTGATCCGCAACAATCAGCAGAATACACTACAACAATTATGCAATGAACCATAAACCCCTGCAAAACCCCTGAAGGCTGCCCCACAGGTCATGTACTCCAAAACGGGGAAACCGCTGGCTGCATAAGCTCATATTTAACTTGCCTAAATGATATTAGCTGGATGGGCACACTAGCTGGCTGCATTTGCTCGAGTTTAACCTTGCGTAAATGATATTTAGCCACATTTAAACTCATTGCAAATAGATAAGCTTGGGAGCTGGTGCCTTAAAGGTTAGCAGGGTGCCAAAGCCACAAGCTGCTAGGAGGTATCCATGGCAACCGTGGAAAGCAGGAACCACCCAGATGAAACCCTTCTCCTGGTGCTTGAAGAAAGGAGGGACCCAAGGACAGGGTGACATGGTACCTCCGATCCCCCAAACCTACCCCCAAGCACCAATCAGCTGGTATAATTGGGCAAATGCAAAATAAACACATACTTAGGAAGGTAGCCGTGGTGGACTACCAATCCAAAGGAAAGACCCAGGAACATAATGCTGCAGCAACCAGAGATAAGCTCCAAAAGGCATTCTGGGCAGTGCAAATACTTTCCTCAAGCCAATATTTTAGAGAGGGCAGCTAAGGCATCCGACGGGGTCCTAATGTAGAGCTGACAGGCATTGCTTGACCAGCGGCCCATGGACTGAATCAAATGATCC